CAAACTAAAACCACAGCAATAGCAACACACATTGCACTTCCTGTAGACTTTCAAAATAAAAATAATACAAAATACAGACTGCAAACGAATTCTTATACATTACCAGGCTCATTAAATGTTTTTAAACACATAACTTATTAAATGAACTATACCTTTTACTATATTTATGTAACTTATAACCAAAGTATGCTTTTAATCCTTTTTAACTGAAACTTACATTATGAACTCTTATCTTTGTATTATTGCTGCCTGTAAATATTCTATCCAGGTTACACCCTCCCCCTTCTAAACGTCTGATGCCCTCATCTGACTACAACACAAGGCTATGTGTAGTGTACATTTAATGTCTACCAATATGAATGGTGACTCCTCTATGTACGATGGTAAGAGGTTGGTCTTTTGATCTGCCTGGCTGATCATAAGTGAGTCGGACAACAGGTTTAACTGTTCGTCTTGGTCTAGGACTAGGTGTATGCATATTTGGCATGTGTTGAGGACTATGTCTGACATCTTCATCGCTTGAGGTAGGCTCTGGATCTGGGTCTGAGTCAGGGACATCATCAGGTAAGTTTTCTTCTTGGACATTGTTAACTTCATCTGTTTGTCCATGTGGGTCACGATCTGTCTCTTGTCTTTGTCTCAGCACTTGTTCGAGGTAAGTTCTGTAGGATCTTCGAGGTTGGACATACTCAAGATCGGAAGACTCTGATGACAGTTCACTTTCCATTTGTGCTGAGTGAGAAGCATGACTTTGCCTCTGGACAACGTTTCTGGTTCGTGGCTTCCTTTGCACTTCTTCCTCTTCATTTTGCATGGGGATTCTTACAAGATCTCCCATGGGCAAAAGATGGTCTCTGTGAAGTGTCTTTACTTTTCCATTGCCGTTTTGTGGTTTCAACTTGTAAACGGGAAGATTTGGCAGTTTCTGGAGTATGACATACGGTATCTCACACCAACGATTCTCGAGTTTGTGTTTTCCTTTCAATCCAAGATTCTTTACAAACACCTTGTCTCCCGGTTCAAGATTTTGGTATCCCACTCTCTTGTCATAGGCCTTTTTGTTTTTCAGGTGTGTTTTGGTTGAGGCTTCAGCTGCCATTTTATAAGCACTTTGAAGATCATCTTTCAGCTTTGTAACATACGTTGAATGCTGTAATTCGCCGTTGTCTGGACTTGTGCCAAAGCATAAGTCAACAGGGAGCTTTGCTTCTCGCCCGAACATTAGGAAGTACGGGGAGTATCCAGTGGAGTCGCACTTGGTACTATTGTAGGCATGCACAAGATGTGTTACATGCTGACTCCATTGTCTTTTCTTCTCTTGGCTTAGCGTACCCAGCATTGACAGTAAGGTACGATTAAACCTCTCAGGCTGAGGGTCGCCCTGAGGGTGATATGGGGTCGTACGAGACTTGCGTATTCCAAGGATCTTCAGTAGCTCTTTAATGAGTCTTGACTCGAAGTCTCGGCCTTGGTCAGAGTGAATACGTGAGGGCAGGCCATAGTGAATGAAATACTTTTCGACTAGGGTCTTGGCTACAGTGAGAGCAGTTTGGTTTCTGGTGGGAAAGGCCTGTGCATAGCGTGTAAAGTGGTCAGTTACTACTAGCACGTTTGTGATCCCCTTTGAGTCTGGTTCCATGGACAGGAAGTCTATGCACACTAGATCCATTGGTCCTGTGCTGACAATCTGGTGTAACGGTGCTGCTCTTTTACTTGGAGTTTTGCGTAGCACACACTCTCCACAGTTCTTTATGTACTGCTCCACGTCGGTGGCCATTTTGGGCCAGAAGAACCTACTTCTCAGCATATCTGTGGTTCTTTCGATGCCTAGATGTCCAAGGTCATCATGCAGGGACTTGAGAACAGAGGTTCGGAACACAGCAGGCAGTACAAGTTGGTTTGTTTGTCTTCCAGTGTGGCTAGTACTCACACGATGAAGCAATCCATCTTTCATGACCAACTTTCCAATGTCTCTTTTCATGGCCGAAATTTCCGGATTTAGCTTGATGTCTCCAGGCCATTTACTAGACTTCATTGCCTGCATGGTGGTCTGAATCACAGCGTCTTGTTTTTGAGCGGTTATGAGCTCGTCTCTAGACATTTGACTGAGTGCGTTCAGCTGCATGCGTGTTGGGTATGCATACACTTCAGGAATACATTCAGGTGGCGCTCCAAGCTGTTTGACGTAAGTGGGAGAATCTTTGGGTGAGGCAAGAGAACCAACACGCTGACAGATCGACTTGACACCAGAGTGTGAAATACTTTGCCACTCAGGGTCTTCTCCAAACTCCATCCTTGACAAGAGATCTGCATCAATATTGTTTCGTCCAGGTCGATAAATTATGTTGAAATCATACACTGACAGGTCAGACAGCCAACGGTGTCCAGTGGCATTAAGTTTCGCCGTTGTGAGGGCGTATGTCAGCGGATTATTGTCAGTGCGGACCGTGAACCTTGCTCCATATAAATAGTCATGGAATTTTTCCACAACCGCCCACTTGAGGGAGAGGAACTCCAATTGGTGGATGGGATAGTTCCTTTCTGATGAGCTCAGCTTGCGACTTGCAAATGCCACGGGCCTTAGTCCTTCTGCATAGTCTTGATAGAGGACGGCGCCTATTCCACTCAGACTTGCATCCACATGCAACACGTATGGCTTGTTTGGATCTGCGAACGCCAATACTGGGGCATTCGTCAAGCAATGTTTGATCTTTTCAAATGCTGCCGTACAGGATTTGTCCCATCTGGATCCAAAGGGCTCCTTCTCATCAAGATAGGTACTCTTTTGTGTTTTAGTTTGGCTTTTTCCTTTTTGCTTGGGAGCATAGCCTCTGGTGAGATCTGTGAGTGGGCGGACAATTGATGAATAGCTCTGGATAAACCGCCGGTAGTACCCACAAAATCCAAGGAAAGATCTGAGGGTCTTCAAGTTGTAGGGTCTGGGCCAGTTGGTGACGGCCTCTATTTTTGCTGGGTCTGCCGAAATGCCATCTGCAGAAACTATGTGACCCACATATTTGACTTTTGTCTGACAGAACTGACATTTGTCAAGCGAGATCTTCAGCCCAACTTCTTGAAGACGATCGAGGACTTTAAGCAATCTCTCCTCATGTTCTTCTAGTGTTCGCCCAAACACGATTAAATCATCCAGATATACCAGGACTTGGAGGAGATTCATGTCACCAACTGCTTTCTCCATCAAGCGCTGGAAAGTCGCAGGGGCTCCAGTTATGCCTTGGGGCATTCTCTCAAACTGATAAAAGCCAAGGGGACAGATAAAGGCTGTCTTTTCTTTATCCTCTTCTTTCATGGCGATCTGGTAGTAGCCACTTCTCAAGTCGAGGACAGAAAACCACTTGCTACCAGATAGACAGTCCAAAGCTTCATCAATCCGTGGTGTCGTATACTGATCTGGAATAGTGCGGCTGTTGAGAGTGCGGTAATCTATGCACATCCTCACATCACCATTCTTCTTTCTTACGATCACTATTGGAGATGCGTACGGACTTCTGGACTCTTTGATAATGCCTGCGGCTAGTAGTTTCTGGATATGGCGACGCACATCATCGATATCTGCTGGAGCTATGCGTCTGGAGCGTTCTCTGAATGGTCTTTCATCGGACATACGTATGCTGTGCTCCACTCCTTTGGCTAGTCCCACATCCAGCTCATCGAAGGAGAAAACAGTGCCTCTTTCAGTTAACTTTTGGAGCAGTCTTGCTTTCCAGACTTCAGGGACAGGTGACTCTCCGAAGTCGATCTGGCTGGTGTCAAAAGACTCTGACTTTGACTCATGGCAAGGCATGGAGGTGACAACATCAGCTATGCAAAGACGACCCACAACAGTTCCAACAGGGAGGGTGACGTTCCTGCAGGACTCATTCTGGAGCAAGACTGTGCATTTGTTATGTTCGATGGCATGGCTTGGTATAACCATTGGCTGAAGCAACAGCTCGGCGGGAAGGGGATGAGATAGTGAAGCTTCAAGCATGAGAATTTCCTTTGGAAGTGGCTGATCCAACAAGACTGTGCAATTTGCTTTGAGACTCGAACCAGCAGAAAGTGTTAGCGATCCAGGTCCTTCCCACTTCACAACGCCTACTCCATCATCGTCCGGGATTGGGGTGATGATTGTTTCTTTAGGGCAGAAGTTTTGTATGGCAAACGAATGGGCGGGGACACCTGGTGTGTCAATGCACAGCTGGGACAATCTCTTTGACAGACTTGCTTTTGCATTGGTCCCTATGATGACTGGTGTCTGGTCGGGACCTGGTGGATCAGGACAGATCAAGGCTAGGACCGACATGGTTGTCGGAGCTCCGGTCACTTTCTTTGGAAACTCCATATCCACAATGACGTATCCGAGATACGGGTAACTTGAGTCACTTAGGCCCCAAATGTCAAGCTTGGTTACTGGGTAGATTGGAGCGTCTGACAGATGTCGTCTGTACCATGACTCAAAGATGATGCTCACACGAGAACCACTGTCCAAAAGTGCATCACAGAGATTTCCATTCACTCTTAATGGTTCGATTGAGGGTGGACCAATTAAGCCTTCTGGAATCCCTCTCGACTCCAGCATGTTGACTGCGCTTTTCCTCACCGTGCAATTGGAATCTTGTGACGGACTTTCATTGACTTGTGCGTTACTGGACTTGGCTCTTTTGAGGGCTTGAAGAAGTCTTTGAATGACCTTGCTTTGGTTTTCAGGCCCGTTGCATTTCCCTGCTAAGTGGCCAGTTTCACCACAGCGGTAACAGAAACGTTCTTCAGTCCCAGTACCGGTTTCACTGGTGAGTTTACTGCCATAACAGTGGTTGGAGCTGTGCTTTGATTTTGGCTTGTCTTTGAGTTCACCTTTTTCTGCAGGTGCTTGACTTGTTTTTTCAACGCTTGTACTTCAGGATCCAAACTTGAAGGACTTCCAGGTCGGGCTGGGTGGTTTTCTCGAGTTTCCACATCAGACAGACTTTGGGTTGCAAGAGCAGCGAACATTGTCTTTACTTCTTTAATCCCGCTCTTAGATTTTGGATTTCTGTTTGCTTGTGTTCAGCTTGAACTTTGGCATGGACTGTGTGAACCGACTGTTTCAGCTTTACTTTGGAAGCTTCATACTCTTCTTCTTTACGGATTTCTTTCAGTAGCTCAAGGAACATTGGAGGATTGGCTTTTCTTTCTCTTAATCTGAGCTGTAACAGCATTAAGTCAGCATTCACCGCACCTTTCAGTAACTGGTCGACTCTCGCTCTGTCCATGTCTTTAGCCAGTAGTCCACCTCGCTGCACAACTTTGGCCAGGGCGCGTTCTAACCTTCTCAGGAAGTCTGACAGCTTTTCACCTGGTTGCTGTTGTAATAGTCTGAAGGAGAAATACAGGTCATCCCCAGACTCAGCTAGGCCAAAAGCACTCTCAAGGGCTTCCAAACACTTGTCTGCAGAGACATCAGCTTCAGAAAGGCGTATAGCTTTGATTAGTTCAAGAGCAGGGCCTTTTAAACTTTCCATGATCCTTCTCCTTTTATCTTTGTCAGAACCATCACTTTCTTCAACCATCAGGTAAGCTTGTTCCAACCAGTGGTCAAACTGCTCCTCTCCAGCCGGAGTAGGCACAGTACCTGAGAATATGCGTAGGCGGCGGTACCCACCACTCTCTGATGCAGGTTTGCTCGTCTTGTCCAGCAGATCTGTGACAGCACGTATAAGCATCTCTGCAGAAGAGGTAGGTTGTTGTGGCTCAGTGAATAATGCTTGGACATCACCCAATGTTTTCCCTTCAGCCTCTAGTAGGGCTTTTAGTTTCACATTGAAATCCTCTTCGGCCTCGGATGTGTCCTTAGCTGTGATTATTGGCCATGTCGTCAAGCCTTCAGGTGCCAGCACTTCTGGTGGGACTTCCTCCACTGTAACTGTTTCTCTGCAATCACACAACACAAGAACGTTGTTATCAGTGTCACTCAACATCCGTCCTCTGACTCGGACACGTCCAATGCACTTAATACTTTGCAAAGTCTCTTCAATGAGTGCTACATCAGTGTTTTCAGGGACGACGGTCAGGAGGGCGTGGCTCTCATCCAGTGCTTCTCCACGACACCACTTCTTCAACTTGTCAATTAGTGTTTTTGCCATTGCATGTGTTCTTCTGTAGACGTGCAATAAAGCTGTGAAATGTGACTATATGGACTCAAAATGCAGTAAATAAATGAAATCTATCCCAGCGGTGCCTCCATTTATGTAGCCCACCTAAACCAAGTGAAATATGGTAAGGGCCCCTGAGTTCTTTTCTAACTCTAAACTACAATAAACTAAATATATAGAAATCAGATACTCACTGCTTAAGTCCTATATCTCTCTATTCACCTTTAAATGCAACCTACAACACCTTTAACTAATGAAAGTAATACGGAATAAACAAACAAATGTAAATGAATGAACAGTAAATTTACTGGATTAGTAAATTCAAATAAAAAATATGTTTACATTACAGTTCAAACATTTTCTATAACTAAAGTGGGCCCACTCACCAATCACTCACACAATACACACAATAGTTATATGCTGCAGCTATAAAACTAAAGTTGCAGGCCTGAGCGATGCTTGGGAGCGTGGAGGCCTAAAACACAATGGCCGCTTCACTCTTTAAAGAGCCAAAACAAAATATAACTCCAATGTACCTGGTTTTGATGTCAAAAGTGGTCTACTATGTCTACTCCGTTTGCCTGGAAAGGAAGGCCATGTCGTGCTCCAAGATGGCGACTGCAGATTGGTCCCGTCTCCTGGTCCTCCTGTAATAGCGCCAACTGCGAGGTCTCCTCTCCTGGTCTTCTCCGTCCGCACTGCAGCTCACACACGTCCAGCAAAACATCGAACACAGTTCTCTACATGTGCAGCTCCACACTTCAGCGAGTTCTAGTGCCCTGATCGAGTGCACAAGAGTCTTTTATCAGGCTGGTTTAGCCTAATTAAAGTTCATTGCCGCGAACGTTTAGCCAACGTGCGCTAAGGACTGAAGCTAACACCAACTACAGTAATAATACTCATCTGCCGATCCGCTCTCGAGCTGATGACTGTCCGTACACTCTTAAAAAAAAGGCACAAAACAAACAAATCCCGGACTCTTGGGCAAACAGTCCTGAAATTACTGTGTTTACTGCAGAAACTCAGACACTTTTTACTCTCTGCGTCTCTTCTCTGTGTATCTCCGACGTTAAGCTAAGCACCGTCTGCATGCACACTTCCGGTTTACCCTTTCAAACTAAAACCACAGCAATAGCGACACACATAGCACTTCCTGTAGACTTTCAAAATAAAAATAATACAAAATACATCGACTGCAAACGAATTCTTATACATTACCAGGCTCATTAAATGTTTTTAAACACATAACTTATTAAATGAACTATACCTTTTACTATATTTATGTAACTTATAACCAAAGTATGCTTTTAATCCTTTTTAACTGAAACTTACATTATGAACTCTTATCTTTGTATTATTGCTGCCTGTAAATATTCTATCCAGGTTACAATTGGAAGGTTGCACATGAAGATGATGATTATATAGCCAAGACCATGTGGGCTAACCATCCATCCATCCATTGTCTTCGCCTTCCCCTTCTCTTGGTTGGGGGGGAGCCAGTCCGAGCTGCACCCAGTACACAGAGCACCAGCCCCTCACTGACCCTCCTGCAGGTGATGGGCCCAGAAGAGGATGGCTGGACCTTTCAACCATCTTTCGGACAACACTGCCAAAACTTGTGGCCGGGTGTTGTGCAGGTGGCAGGGGCGTGTCAGCAGTGACGTCATTAAGTTGCCCAATTCACAAAGCCCCCTAACGCTAAATGATTTATTTTTAATAATATTTTAAATCATTTTCAAGCATCACATTGATTCCCTTACATGTGCGGTTTGTAGGTTCCATGATGGATCCATGCACCTTGAAACTGTAGATACATGTATAAATGAGTTTGACGTAATTGCTTTCAATTCTGAGTCTAACAAAACTGAAACTCGTATCCATTTTTTCCTCTACTCTAAATGTTTGGAAGGAGTCTCCGTTGTCGTCATATTCGAACGTCCCAAATTTGGTCTCTTCTCCCTCAAGCTCCTTGAGTCCGTAAATGCTGAGCTTCTTAGGTGCAGAGAGAATTTGACCCGTGGGGGACTGTTCTTTGGTTATGTGGCCGACGGTTACGCGTGATATGTGTACATTTGTAACTAAGGAGATCGTCAACTGCCCCGCGGATCCTTCCATTGGCCAACATTGGCCTGGAGTGAGAGGGTAGGCTTGTCCCTGGATGACACACCGAGGTGTTGGGTTGTACTTGACATTATTAAAAATTTGACATGTTCTACTTGTGTGACTCTTCACAACATAAGCCCCAAGACTTTCAAGTGCAAAGGCGAAAGATTCAAGTATGAAGTCAAGTGAATTGACTTTTTCCTTAAAATTGTCCATTTCTGCCCGTTGATTCTCTTGAGAATGCATGAAAAGGTGACCCAAAACAGTGTACCAAGTCAGCACAATGCATGACATCGCAATAACCATAAAAAGCACAAAAAGCACAACGCGCCATGAAAAGCTGAATTCAGGATCAGGATATGGCTCTGGCACTGCGTCTGTTTCAAGAGGGAGATTGTGTGAGGAAAATACAACTTCAGACCTGGCGGATCTGCGTATCCTCCTTTTGAAAACATGTTGTAAGTTTTCTTTGTAGGATATAAAAGGCTTGCCGTCTTGATCATAGTACCCCTGCTCAATCAACCTCTGACTTCTACGATCCATACTTACCAATCTAACAATATCTTGAATGTTATCCATTCAGCCTCTCTGAACTCCAAAGTCCACATCCTTCTGCAAAGCCCTGGTAGCAATCTAGAAGCAGGTGACATCGGCATCGTTTCCATGGTAACCTTCTGAAGGTTACCATGGTTATTGTTACCATAGGGTTTTTGTCATTATTTTAACATTCCTAATGAGATATCCAATCATGTTTAATCACTGATATAAGAATTTAGTGAGAAAAGATACAAACTCAATAATCCAAGTGTTTATGTAACAATTGTATCAGGAATCTTTATTCCATCTAGAGAATCAATGGTTATGGGTTAGAACTCATTTTCTGAAATATGTGTGAATTGCATGAGGTGATAGCTTCACTCACGACATTGGCTTAGATAGTAGAGCAATGGACTTTATGTCTGACAGTTGACCTGAAAGGAGACCTACTCCATGTACTCCACTGATGTCTGCTGTTGTTGTGTCCCTGAGCAAGGCGCTGACAGAGCAGCCTATGGATCCCCCGGCTGTCGGAGGATCAGTGAGGATTTGGAGCCCCAACCCAAAAAATACTAAACAGCATGGGTAATATGTGCACAATTTGAAATGTGACTCTCTGAATGTTGGTAATTTGTTTGTTTTAAAATGACATAATCCTGCAGCCCTAATATAGTGTTGATAGTGTTAATTGTCAGGCATATCCGTATGGTTTCTTTTTTTAACAACATAAGATAATTTTGTTGTAAGATTTTAGCGAAAATGACTGTTCTTTTGGCCGTAAGGGAAGCTCAGGTGTGAGTCAGGTTCGTGGAGATGCAAGCCTGCTGTAACATGTTTTTTTGTTTTTTTGTGTGGAAAGAATGGTAATGCAAACTAAAAGCTCTCTGATGAGGTGAAAAGGAAAAGAACTGATTTCAAGAAGTAGATATTTATTTGCAGAGAATCCCTTGTTAGTTTACCAAATCATTTTTTTTTTTTTACTTTACCAACGCAAATTATATGCCTTAAAATACATTGTAGTAAAGATTTTTTTTTTTCTTAATATTGTTTACCTAATTGTTGTGTGTGTTGTGTATTTGGTGCCATGTTGAGGAACATTCCAGCTTCTTTTGGGGCCAACAAACATATCACAGTGTAATTCCTTTAAACATTGCTCTTTGAATGGCAGGAGCAGCTGCTGTTGTCACTGCTCCCTCTTATCTTGCTGTGCACCTGTAACACTGCATAAAGGTCTGGCCATTTGAAACGTTCATAAATCTCCCACTGCATTGTGGGTAATCACAAGGAGCTAGTGTCCTCTGTGTGTTGGAGGTGGTCTGTTCGGACACTAAATGAAATGGCTGCTTCAAACACAAAGTCAATCTTAATTACACACTTTTTAGGCTAAATAAAGTAAGAATATCAACTTAATTCATTATGATCAAATTGTTTATTGAAAACTATTTAGAAAAACCTGAAATCCCCTGGGGTCGAGTCCATAAACTGTAAATAGATGGACCATGCTAACCTGCTAGTTCAATGAAGCCCAATAGGTAAGTGCTCATGAACAAAGTTTTGTCCCTTAAAAGTATTCTCCTCTACCTCAGTGACCATCAGCGTCACACTCATCAGATAAGGTGTTAAAAATCCATGGGTTAGTGTTCTCGTCACTCCTAGTGTTTATATTTTGCTAACAGCCCCAACAACTGACCAATTCTTCTTAACAATGCTCCTGATTGGGGTTTGGAAACTCAGCTTTTATGCTGTTTTCATGCAATCTCGGAAACTTGACGTAGTGACACACAGTTGTAAACGCCAATACAAACATTGGCCCATTCATGTGATATAAAACACACCTCCTCTCTTTTTGTCTCTATTCTTTCAAACAAACACAATCCGGCACCTGTCATAATGATCTAAACTCGAGAATTCCGGGACCATTGATCCAGCCC